TTTATTTTTTCATGTCTATTTAAGTGCTATTTATGACACTATTTAAATGCTATCTATGACACTATGTTTGCACTGAAGCACCGCAGCAATTTCCTAATGTTGTAAACCTGCTCAACATTTGGCAATAAACCCCTTTCTGATTCTGATTCTGATTCACCTGTCACCTGTCACCCACCTGTCCCTGGGCTGCCCCCTGCTGGTCCCCAGGCACAGTGTCGGGCAAAATGGGTCCCTTCAGCTCTTAATTAGAGCATGACGGGTGTGGGAACTAGCCTTTCCTGAGGTCCCATCTAGTAGAGCGAACCTCAAGGTTGATGATGTCATACAGCCACAGCGCCTCCTATCTCATGTGCCGCTGCTGCCTGATTGGTCTGGTTGCAGGCAGTGAGTGTGCTGCATCCCAGCATTTGTGGTCCCCTGCCCGCAGATGGCTGCTGCTATGCATGGTGGGAGTAGTTTGCCTTTGGCCCCTCCCCCAATAGCCCTGTCCCTGGTCTCTTTGGACGCCCCTTCGGGCCCTCCCTGGGCAGGGCAGCATGCCCTAACAGGGGCGTGAGGGTAACTGATGCCCTGCTGGCGGCCATTTCGTCGCTCCCTCTACAGGGATGGAGCTTGACACGTCAGCTGCAGGCAGGCTGGGGACATGGAGAGCCCTCCCCAATCTTGTGCCTCTTGGGCTAAAATGGAGATGATGGCTGCAGCGTTGCTTCCCATTGCCCCGCCTCTGTGAGGCCTGTGCCGGTGGAGGTTGATTCTCAGGAGGATGATGTTTGTGACGCTTGACTCTGGTCAGACGACCAGGGTTACCTGATGGGACTGCCTGTCTACCCTGTGGCCACCTCGCTGTGCTGAGGGGCCTATGCAGGGATGTGGAGATGGCCGTGTTCAGGTGAGGCGGGGAGGACTCGGAGCCTAGGTTCAGCTGTCCTCCAACCACCCTCCTTCTTCCTGACATCCTTTGAGTTGGGCATAGTGGCCAACTCCGCTGCAGGCATGGGCCAGCAGTTGACAATTCTCCAGCCTGCGGCGCTGGCTCGGTCTAGTGCGTTGCCCCTGTGTCACAGGTCACACGGCCATCAGGTGCCCGCTCAGTGAGCTGACACTTCCCGACTGTCCGCAGGTGTCTTGTCGGGCCCACTCTTGCTTCCCATCTGGAGCGTCGTCTGCATATCGCGGGTTTCTGTCATGGCGATAGCCAGCTGCCGTGCTCGAGTGGCTTGGTAGGCTGTGCTCTCCTGGAGTATTGCCCGTATTCGCTGGCTTACACGCCAGTTGGACCTCGCTGCGGCGAGTGAGAATTCTCCAGCCTAGTGTAGCCAGTTTTCTGTCTGGTGTGTTACCCGCAGTGCGCCGTTCACACAACCAGTGGGGCTCCTGTCATTGTCGAGCGGAGCGGCTTCTCAGCTCTGACTGCAGTGAGTCAGAGCCAGTCAGTAAGTGAGTAAGTGTTCTCCAGCCTGTAGGGCCGACTGTGCACGAGTAGCGAGTTCGCCCCTGCTGCAACAGCACTTAGCAGACGCCCGGCCCTGGGGTGGACCTTCGGGTTGTGTTCCCCACTTGGGCTTCGGCTGGCTGGACCGCCAGCCCCCTCACCAGTCTGCTGACGGCACAGGGTGGTGTTGCGGCTTGGGGACAGACCCTTTGGGTCACGTCCCTACTTCAGCCCTCTGCTTTCAGCGGCCGTGCTGACGCTGCGGGCTGTGTTCCCCTGGCACATTGCCCACGGTTCACCGGCTTACGCTCCAGCAGCACTGGTTCCCTGTCTGGCATTGCCCACTTCTTGCTGGGTTGTGTGTCCAGTAGGGTCCCCACTCAGTTGCTCGGTGAGCGACGCTTCCTCTCCTCACTGTGCTCCTAGGATTCCGGGTTCAGGCCCTGTGCACCCCAGGCTCCAGCTGGAGATCATGTGGAGAGCGTGCACACAGGCTCATTGTAGCTGACTGCCTGTGCTTTCTGGCCTGCTAACCATGTGCCGCGGGTTTACATGCTTGTCAGACCTCGCTGTGTCTGACACGGCCTGTGAGTGAAAGCTCTCCAGCCTGCTGACTCCCTATCTGGTGCATTGCCTTTGTGTCATGGGCTTACACGGCCAGCACGGACCCGCTCAGTGAGCTGGGACTTTATGACTGACCTCGAGTGTCTTGTTCGAGTTTACTCTTGAGGTTCATCTGTCTGCGGACAGCACGTGGTGACGGTGCTGGGGGTGGACCTTCGGGTCATCGCCTTGCTCAGCCCTCCACTTCAGCAGGCTAGGCTACCAGGCTATGGCTGGGGTGACTGGAATCCTTGATGATCCTCCCCGCTTTCCTCAGGCACCGCTTCCTGTACACGTCTTGGAGGGAGGGAAGCTCACCTCCAATTATCCGTTCAGAGCACCGCACTACTCGCTGGAGAGCTTTGCAGTTGTAGGCGGTGCTGTTGCCATACCAGGTGGTGATGAATCCAGTGAGGATGCTCTCAATGGCACAGTGATAGAAGGTCCTGAGGATGCGGGGGCTCATGCTGAATCTTTTCAGTCTCCTGAGAAAGAAGAGGCGCTGCTGCGCCTTCTTCACTGTTTTGTTTGTGTGTACTGACCACGTAAGATCCTCAGCCAGATGTACACCAAGGAAACGGAAGCTGCTCACTCTCTCCACAGCAGCGCCGTTGATGGTGATGGGGGTGTGTACTTCTCTGCACCTCCGGAAGTCCACTATCAACTCCTTTGTCTTTGCGACGTTGAGGGTGAGATGGTTGTCTTGACACCAGTGGGTCAGGGCGCTGACCTCCTCCCTGTAAGCCGTCTCATCACCGTTGGTGATAAGACCCACCACTGTAGTGTCGTCCACAAACTTCACAATGATGTTGGAGTTGTTAGTGGCCGTGCAGTCGTAGGTGTAGAGTGAGTACAGGTGAGGGCTCAGTACACACACACATATGGAATAAGTAACGGTGTGGAGAGAACTCAGGTTACACAGTAACCGTACGATCTTTTGTGATCATTTACTGATGTTTGGATATTTTACAGATTGTTTTATACAACATGAATCTTTCTGTAGTGGCTGATTTCAGATTCTTTTTAAATGTATTTTACAGTTTTTCATACTTTTTAATACATCTGATACTTTCAGGCTGAATGAAATTCTGTGTGAACTTAAGCTGCTGTGTGTGTCGGTTCTGCATGTTCTCACAGCACACGCGTGTCTGAAAGTCGTGTCTGTGTTTCAGGCAGAGGGCGAGGACAGTCTGAAGAAGATGCAGCTGATGGAGTTGGCCATCCTGAACGGGACGTACAGAGACGCCAGCATCAAAACCTGTAAGAGACAGACTGGCCAATCATACACAGTCATTTTAAACATGAAACATTTGTGCCAAATGTATTGGTTAAAATGAAAAACATGAAGCATGCAGTGTTTTAGATGCCATTCACACCGTTTGATTCAGATTTTCATTTTGTCTTTTTACAGCAAGCATACTAAAACTCCTCCCCTTTTTATAAACCCTCCCCTTTCCTGTTACCCATACCCAGCATCCCTCGCCTTTTCTTTCGCAGCATCTAGCGTCTCGCAACAGGCTTCTCGTGTCCTCTCAGGCCCCGCCCCCGTACTGGCACCGCCCACTGCCCTGCGTACACCTGCCCCCACAGGCCCCACTCTCATGCCTCTGATTCGGCAGATCCAGACAGTGTTGCCCAATGGAACACCGGCACTGATGGCAGGGGTGGGGCCTGAGTCTGGCCTGATCTACACGACGCCATACGATTACCCGTACACTCTGGCGGCACCAGCGTCCATCTTGGAGTACCCGCTGGACTCTGGGGGGATGTTGGGTAAGCCCGCCCCCCCCTGTTCCTGTGAATGCTCTCCCACCCCTCACCACCACACTCATGGCCAGTGGAGCCCTGCCCCTACACTGGTCCTCCGACATGCCTCCTGAGAGACAAAACAAACAAACGATCAAACAAACACACACACGGCCTTGTGCCTCCTGCTGGACGGATGAGGTCATCATTGCTCCATCATTATCTGCCGTTTGATTGGCTGAAAATGTTTGAACTGACTTCTAGCACTGATGTCATGTGACCACAGCTTCCTGCATTGAAAACACGCCTGTGAACTGAAAACACGCCTCCACTTGCAGACGCTTTCAGGTCGATGCAAACACGCCGATTTTTGGAGAGGAAGTAAAAGTTGATTCAAGTGATTTAAAAATTTGTAATCTTCAGGAAATAAAATTTCAGAGAAAAGTATTAGAAAGGTTTAAATATCAGAATAATGAGGACTTTGGTATTGTGAGAGGAAGAGCTAAATTTACACATTCAAGCATGAAATATTACTTTGGCCTTTATGAGCCACAGTGACCAATCAAAGTAAGGCACTCAAAGGGGTGTCACCTTTGTGATGATGTCTCAGTTCAGTCTCGTCCTGAAAGCCTCTCAGATCTCATCTGGAGTGAAATTGTCTCCCGGTGTGTGCCTTAATGCAAGTTTCTTATTGTTTTCATCACTGACCAACGATGATGTCATGACGTACCTGTTCTGTCACGATGGACAGGTCTGTCCCTGTCCTCCAAGGGCTGATGGAGCTAAACTTCTGCCTAGCCCCGCCCTTCTGGCTGCACGCCTACCTTTCCCACGCCACAGATTCACTTTGATCTGAAGCTATGTTTGTTACAGCCATAATGCAAACACACCTGAAAGGAAGGGTCAGAGCTTTAAAAATGAAATGATTGATAAAACCGTGCTTTAACCAAACACAGACACAGCCGTGGCCAATCAAAGTTTAGATTTTTTAAATTAAAATTTCAGGAATAACTCATCACACAGCCAGAACAAGCGTGGAGTCGTGTTTTATTTGGACTCAGTCTATAATTAAACAAAACTGCTTACAGCGCCCCCTGCTTCAGGCTGTGGACGCTTTATGTCAATGAACACAGAGTTAAACATGATCCGAGAAAACCAGCCCAGCAAGAAACCAGTAAGAAAACAAGTGGCTTCTGGGAAACGCAGTCCTGATGTGTGACAGTGGCACAGCTGTTCACCTTTAGGCAGAACAGACAGCTCCGTGCTTTTGAAGACTTTACGGATCCTCTGAGGTTAATGAAAAATAACGGACTGTCTTTGAGTGAATTTTTTAACAAACCAACTTTGATCTGGGTTTCAGTTCAGGTCAGACTTTAAGTTAAGCTAGGGTAAGGCCTGTAAAGCTACAGATGTCTGTGGGTTTATTTTACGTTTTCTTCCATTTCATATGCTACTTTAAACATGTTACAGCGTGGATAGATGACAGAGCTAACAGTCCTATAGCTAAGTTAGGTGTGACTCTAGAGGAGACAGTAAACAGGAAGCTTTCAATTAAAGTTCTTGCTATGACGTTTGCTAACAAAACTTACCTCTGTGCAGATCTACGTCTGAAACATCAATGACTTTGCTCATGACGGATTTAATGCTGAACTTTGACCTCAGAGATGAGTGGTGATGTGACCAAAGCCCTGGAGGTTACTGACAGATTTATCAAGTATTCTGGGATCACTATGTGATTAAAACACGCCAACCAGGTGTTTTTGCTGACGGTCAGTATAGAGCTAAAGTCTACGCTGTTGTTTCTCAAGAGATAAATGTGAACATTTCTGATTTTCTCTCTCCAAAAAAGGGCAAAAGATCAAAAATAAATAATGATTTTTTTAAGTTGTATTATATTTCTTGAAATAATAAAAGTCTACATGGTAAAACATTGCTAAAATATTAGCAGCTGTTGACCAATCAGGCCACTAAATTAAATCAGCTAATCAGAGTCCCAGCTTCACTGTGAGGTCACTTCCTGTCAGAAATCAGAAACATGATTTTACTCTGTGAACTTGTAAAGATCAGAAACCAGTTGTCTGCCGGGGGTTTGGTACTAAAACAATCAAACTGTAATCTGTAGTTGGAAAGTAATCAATAGGTAACACTGACACAACTAATGAAACAAATCCGATGAAATTGCACAGAAACCTGGCGTAAACCCGACCGCCACATTAACAGAGTTCATGGTCCGAACACTCAGATGTGAACTTTTATTCGCACTCGAGGATCTCTCACAGGATGTCACGTTTTCCTTTAAAACTCGGACTTTGGTTAAAGAGATGATCTGCAGGGTGAAAGGAGACGTACAGAAAGACTTTTACCTGAAAGAACCGAACTTAAAGGATCGTCCACATGCAGTACCACGAGGTGATCACGAGACCTTTCTCATCATGGTGTCTCCCTGGTGAAAACGGTTCGCGGTAAAACTCAACGCCGAGAGATGTTGTAGACTTCACACATCAGGCTGTGATGGCCTCTCGCCTTGCTTCTCTTCATCGCAAACACCGACAGGAACAGCTCGGCAAGCGTCTTCAGAGTGAGGGACGGGAGTCCACCCTTCTCTGGATCAAGAAAATGTGGTTTCATTTTGTTCTCATTTATACAAAGATCAGATCAGAACACAAACTTCCTCTTCCTAGAAGATTTAACACGGAGGACTGTGGAGGTCCAGGAGACCTTCAGGAAGTGCTTGAGCCGACAGTGATTTTACACCTCTGACATTAATGCGTGTTTCATGTCGGAATTATTTTTCAGACTGGATGTAAACGCGGATGTAAACGCGGTCCAGTTTGCCAGCTCCAGCTGGCCAACACCAGCTCATCTAAAGAGTCCTTTATTGCTCAACCACTCAGTCTTGGTTGTTTGTTGAGATGTTGAAGGAGGAAATTGGCCCTAAAGTGGTTCAGGTAGTATGTACAGGTTGCAGTGTGGTGTTAAATGAACATATACCTTTCCTTTCATTCAGAAAAAATTGACCTTTCTGATCTGTTTAAGTTAAACATGAGGACGTTTGTGAGCGATTCCAAACTTTGAGAGTTAGCATTGGTCTGCAGCGGGTTGCATTCAGGTGTAACCAGTAAACCAGAGTGTTTGCTGGTGTCTGGCAGTGATGGTGGTGGTCAGGTGAGGGACAGATGTTCCTAATGAGATTTTAATCTGTATCTGTCTGATCTCTGGAACAGACCTCCTCCTCCTCCTCCTGTGTCAGTACAGCAGATGTTCAAACCTCAGAGAAGATTTGAAGAGAAAAATGTTCGACTTGATGAATGCATCTGACCATTTCAGACACTTTCGTGTCTTACTGTCTTTTTATTTCTATTATTTTAGTTTTATCGCAAAGAGAGAGTAGCTTTTATGTGTAAAAGTATACAAATATATATGTGAGATGTAAAGAGCAGAAGTGTTTATGAAATGTGAAACTTTGCAAAGAGATGCAATAGAAGTAAAAATCTGTAGCAGCTTTTTGAATTTATGATGAAGACAGGGCCTCCTGTTTAGGTGCATGTTTCTATGGATGCTCACGTGTTTCAGCACCACTAGCATCAAACCTGCTGTTAGGAAAATGTAGCATTGCTTCATGACTTTCATGTTTGTTCTAAACAGAAATGGTTCATTTTAAAAAAGAAATAAAAGTTTTACAGAGTAAAAAATGACTCAGAATTTCTTTCATTTCTGCAGGAAGTGAACATCGTGAGTCTTCTCATATTAACCTGTAGCCTACTAAACCTGCTTTGGCTCTGCTTTAGCTCCTGCCTCATCTGGAAACCGGTCTTATTTCACTCAGACTGCTACAGCTCAGTTGGTCCACATCAGCAGAAATGCTCTCAGGCTTTGCATCAGAGCAGATTTGAGTCACTTTTCAAAATAATGCTTCTTTAGGTGATCTTGAACCTCAGTGAAGCTACTCACTTCATGCCTACCTTTTTCTGAATGGACAGTTTCAGGAAGCCTGCAGAGGGGCAGCGCCCACGGCTTTTGATGAGTCCACCTGTCATGTTTCTGGCTATCTGAGAGTTTAGAGTGTCTGAAGCTGAGCTTTTACCTCTCAGAAACCTTTACCCCACCCTTATAATGGATTGAAGAAATAACCCTGACCCTATGAGTTAATTCAGCTAAAATTTAGTCAGGGTTAAATAATTTGAACAAACTCCATGTAGGGTTAGTTTCCCCAATAATCATGCAGAAAGTTAAAGTTGTGCTTCTTTAAATGAGACCTCAGGTGGTGAGACTACACTCAGAAAAATTATGGTTCTTAAATGGTTCTTCAGATGTCTTCATGGTTCTTTAAAGAACCATCATACGTCAAAGAACCTTTTTTGTTTTGTGGATGGTTCTTCAGCTATTACAAATGGTTCTTTAAAGAACAAAAGGTTCTTCATCCTTAGCAATCTAAGTTTGATGGTGTA